AAGTGAGGTAAGGAGGGACATAAAGTAATGTAAGGAGGGGTGAGTAGTGAGGTGAGGAGGAGGTAAAGTGAGGTGGAGGAGGAGGTAATGTAAGGAGGAATGTAAAGTGAGGTGAGGAGGAGTGTAAAGTGAGGTAAGGAGGAATGTAAAGTGAGGTAAGGAGGAATGTAAAGTGAAGTAAGGAGGAGTGTAAAGTGAGGTAAGGAGGAGTGTAAAGTGAGGTAAGGAGGAGTATAAAGTGAGGTAAGGAGGGGTGTAAAGTGAGGTGAGGAGGAGTGTAAAGTGAGATATAAAGAGAGGTAAGGAGAGATGTAAAATGAGGTAAGGAGAGGTGTAAAGTGAGGTAAGGAGAGATGTAAAGTGAGGTAAGGAGAGGTGTAAAGTGAGGTAAGGAGAGATGTAAAGTGAGGTAACGAAGGGTGTAAAGTGAGGTAAGGAGGAGTGTAAAGTGAGGTAAGGAGGGACATAAAGTAATGTAAGGAGGAGTGTAAAGTGTAGTAAGGAGGAGTGTAAAGTGAGGTAAGGAGGGACATAAAGTGAGGTAAGGAGGGGTGTAAAGTGAGGTGAGGAGGGGTGTAAAGTGAGGTAAGGAGGGACATAAAGTGAGGTAAGGAGGGGTGTAAAGTGAGGTACGGAGGGACATAAAGTAATGTAAGGAGGGGTGTAAAGTGAGGTGAGGAGGGGTGTAAAGTGAGGTAAGGAGGGACATAAAGTGAGGTAAGGAGGAGCGCAAAGGGAGGTAAGGAGGGGTGTAAAGTGAGGTAAGGAGGGACATAATGTGAGGTAAGGAAGAATGTAAAGTGAGGTAAGGAGGAGTGTAAAGTGAGGTAAGGAGGGACATAATGTGAGGTAAGGAAGAATGTAAAGTGAGGTAAGGAGGAGTGTAAAGTGAGATAGGGAGGCTAGTCACGTAGTCATGCTCTGACAATCAAATAGTTGTGCCAAGATAGTCAAACAGTTATGATGTGACAGTCGGCCAGTTATGGTGTGACAGTCTAGGAGCAGACCGGTTCTCTGGGAAGCGGGGATAAGTATCAAGTTACACGACCCACCTACACCTCCCCCCATCACTTACATAAACAAAACATTATTATCACGCCTTTACTATATTAATTGTCTGTTTGTTCGTTTACTGTTGTTGTTATATTTTATTTTTTGCATCTATTATCGTTAAAATTTATTGCTTATATTATCGTAATTATTGTTATAGTTTTCATTATCTTCACTATTTCTATTATTGGTTTTTCGTATCTACATTATTACTGTTGTTGTGGTTTTTATTATTGGCATTATCATACTTATCATATTTTCGCTATTTTTACTCTCCCTGTTAAGGTTATTCCGTTGCAGATGAATAGGTTTTATCTTATAACAGAGTAAACAGAACAGACAACACATGTTTAAGAGGACACCTGGGTAAAAGATTACACAAAAGGCGGCGTCACACTAGCATTTCTAATGTCAACTTTTTCATTACTCGTCGATTTTTTCACGAATCGTCGGCGTTGTCGCTAGCTTTTTTGTCAAGCGGTACAGACCGTCTGCACCGACGACTCCTTACGACTACTTTCCGGAGTCATCTCAAGATATAATTGATACTACAAATAGTTATATAAAAATAATTTTACTCAAAATATAAAGCTAAAATTATTATAACGTAATTATTGCTCATCTTCCCAAGATTACTCATAGTTATGTATTATTTCGTGATCTTTAAAAAGGTAAGAAAATGTAATTTGTTGCTTACATTTTGATCACGCGGGCATAACAACAACATGACGGAGCCAACAGATAAAATAATTTCTGAAGTCTGGATATGCCTCTCTGAGGTGTTTGTGGACCAGATAAGGCAGCGCCGCGGTTCTGGGATCACCAAGACTTTTCATACACCGAAAAAGGCGTAGAATTGCTGCGCTTTTTTCGTCAGTTGGATCTATCTTGTTTGTTGACAGTTGTCCAACGAGGGAAAATGGCGAGTTGGTGTTAAACGCATGTGTGACGGTGCACAACAAAAAGTTCGACGAATTTCTGAAAGTTGACTAAAAAATCGAAGAAAGAATGCCAGTGTGACGCCACTTTAAGCCTCCATGTAAGCATTTTAGGTTAGGTGTACGTGTTGTTGCCACTTGCCATCGCGTGAGTTAAGGTGTCCTGGCGACATGCCTTGTCACATTTATCATGAGGCTCTAATAAACCCTTCTATATATCTATATTAAATAATTTGTGTCTCAGTAAAGATACCTCACGTGCGTGTGTATAAAATACTGAATCATTATAGCGAATGTTTTTACATCCTAGGCCTTTCACTAGCACCTTTTCCATCAACTTTCCTGGTTTCCGTCGGATTTTCCACGAATTGTCAACTTTTCTAGCCCGCCTCGCTCACACGAAACACATCGTTTCCCTCTGACTGGTTTGCGCCAATTTCTGTGGTCAAGTGGTCGCTATTCGACACTGAGGATATTTATATAAAAGAAATATCGAACCACGTAAAATATCAAAATTTAATTTTAAAGGTATTCAATAACGCATTTTTAATAAATTGTTTAAGTGTATTTTTTTATTGATGCTGATTCGTAAATATATAAGATATGTTTGTTTACACTGCGCAATGTGTTCAACTTCTTCACGGTCTCTACCTATTCTTATGTGGATACAACGCCACCTTTGTTTATAAATGACAAACACGGAAAGATTGGCGTGCTAGTTCCCTATGTGTGTGTGACAGGGCTCACTTAGAATATTGAAAATTTATAGAAAATTTATGAAATAAAATGACTGAAAAAGTGCTAGTGTGACGCCGCCTTAAAGTGCGCTTACATAAAGCTCCCAACCCGGGCCACTCTACCACAATAGTAGGTAGTTGGCAGCTACCAAACAGGGAGGTACTACCGCCTGGGAAGATATTGGAAGCATAATGTAGTGTCTAATGGTAGACCCTGCTGCCATATGGCATCACGAAAATTGTGACCAAGTCCCAGGTTGCTGATCTGACTTTCTTGCCTCATTTACACACAGTTGCAGGGTCTCAATTGTTTCCCTTACTATTGACAACACAACATACATATATTGTTTCTCACTCATGATCCTTTTATTTCTTTATGGTTTTTTATAATTATTATTATTACTATTATTATTATTATTATTATTATTATTATTATTATTATTATTATTATTATTATTATTATTATTATTATTACTATTATTATTATTATTATTATTATTATTATTATTATTACTATTATTGTTATTATTATTATTATTATTATTATTATTATTTATTATTATTATTATTATTATTATTATTATTATTATTATTAATATTATTATTATTATTATTATTATTATTATTATTATTATTATTATTATTATTATTATTATTATTATTATTATTTTTATTATTATTATTATTATTATTATTATTATTATTATTATTATTATTATTATTATTATTATTATTATTATTATTATTATTATTATTATTATTATTATTATTGCAGTATTGTCATTATTATTGTTATCATTATTATTATTTTTTATTTGTTTTTATTTTTTAATATATTATTTATCTGAATAATTATTATTACATTTTCTCTCCTCAGCCCCAGATGTGGGTCAGTGACCTGTGTCCGGGTGGGCTAATCCCCGTAAAAAGAAAAAAAGAAGAAAAAAAAGAAACGGTAACCTGGGAAGTAAACACAGGTCACACAATAAATGATAATAATTACCATGCAGCTCTCAGTATGCCTATAACAAATTAAATTACAGTATTACGGCTACACTATTATTTTACGGTCCTCAGAGAAGAAAACGTGACGCTTCAGATCTATAGGTTGCGAATGGCTAAGCCGCCTTTAGTAGAGATGTCAACAGGCCGTGAAGTAGGTATCCTCACCCGAATGACCGCTCCACCTTCCGCTCACTATTTATTATTAAAAATGTTCGAAATGTAAATTCACATATAATCTGAAGTTAAAACAATATGTGTGTGTGTGAAGATATTAAATGAGATGATACAACACTAATAATAATAATAATGATAATAATAATAATAATAATAATAATAGAAAATTATAAATATATGTATTACTTGAAAGGTAGGGTGTTTAGTGATAAATTAAGTCCATCACGGGAGACTGGTGAGGGAGAGTGTGTGGTGAGGGAGAGAGAGAGTGGTGAGGGAGAGATAGTGGTGAGGGAGAGTGTGTGGTGAGGGAGAGAGAGAGTGGTGAGGGAGAGATGGTGGTGAGGGAGAGTGTATGGTGAGGGAGAGAGTGGTGAGGGAGATAGTGGTGAGGGAGAGGGTGGTGAGGAGAGAGAGTGGTGATGGAGAGTGGGGAGGGAGATGGGAGGGGAGAGAGAGGGTGATGGAGAGATAGTGAGGAGAGGGAGGTAGTGGAGGATGAGACAGTGGTGATGGAGAGATAGTGGTGAGGGAGAGTGTATGGTGAGGGAGAGAGGTGGTGATGGAGAGGTATGGTGAGGGAGAGTGTATGGTGAGGGAGAGAGAGTGGTGATGGAGAGATAGTGGTGAGGGAGAGGAGGTAGGGAGGGTGAGAGAGTGGTGATGGATAGTGGTGAGGGAGAGGAGGGTGTGAGGGGTGAGAGAGTGGTGATGGAGAGATAGTGGTGAGGGAGAGTGAGTGTAGTGAGTGGTGAGAGAGTGGTGATGGAGAGATAGTGGTGAGGGAGAGTGAGTGTAGTGAGGGTGAGAGAGTGGTGATGGAGAGATAGTGGTGAGGGAGAGATAGTGGTGAGGGAGAGTGAGTGTAGTGAGGGTGAGAGAGTGGTGATGGAGAGATAGTGGTGAGGGAGAGTGAGTGTAGTGAGGGAAAGAGCGTGTGGTGAGGGAGGGTGTGTGTGGTGAGGAAGATAGGGTGTATTTGTGAACAAGATAAAGTACGTGGTGAAAAAAAGAAAGACAGAGGAAGAGGGTGCTAGTGTGTGGTGAGGGAGGGGGAGAGGAAGGAGTGTTGGTGGTGGGGGAGGAGGAGGCTGACCTTGACAGGTGTGACGGGGCAGGCTTCTGTGGCCGCTGCTCTCTGCAAGTGCTCGAGTTTCCCACCGCAGCTACGATGATTGTTGCAACACTTGATATTCTTACTGCAAATTAATTCCTGGTATAGTTGCTGCTATGTGATTTTGCTGGTACTTACTGTAGATTAAGAATCCATATGTTATCTATATTATCTGTTGTTTACGTCGTAGACAACAGCAGATACGCTCACCGACGTTGCTGTGCAGGACTCTCACTAACAGAGAAAATTGATGATACAGTTACGCTGAACACGCTAATCGATAAATAATTCTTTAGAACACACGATATATTTTTTGCCACAAAAAATATTTGAAGTGAATCAACGAACCTTTTTAAGGCAATTGTTATAAACATAAATGATATCCTTGTTGTAAATACGTATATTTCAGATTTTCTTTTTTACCATAATCAAGGTGTAACTCAAACATGGTGATCACTAATTGGCTACACCAGGGTAAAGTGTCCAAGCGAATAACATCGAGCTCAAGGTGGTCATCACTTCCTGGGGTTGTCATCTATATTCACCTGACATATTGTAGCTTTGTTCTTATTTTCTAAAGTAATTATTCCATGGTATTTTTTCAAACGTGTTTCTAGCGATTCAATTGTTCCCTACGAAAGTTATATATCACTTTCTCTTCTAAAAAAAAATTTCGCATTACCCAAGTTCTAAATATACAAGTTACACCTCTGTATTATTTTTTATCATGACACTACTGGTACTATCACTTAATATCCGTACTTGTATACTAGTTATCCTAGTATTGAAACTCATGAACAAGCACAAGCACTCGTATTTACTAACTTGATGATGACAAACAACATTAATTTTCTCACTCCACAGTCGTCATCGCCGTCAGAAATACGCACACCAGTATACTGTTCTGGCAATGTTCACACAAACTTGTCTTCATGTCGTATACGCACTTGCATATTACCAGTTGGGACATGTACACTTGTAAACTATTACTAATAACATCCACATTTATGTATCAAAACTGGTAATTTCTAGTCATGCACAATTTCTGTTATTATCAGCACGTATACTATCACTTATGTCCTACTGCTGATAATGTTCACCTAATAGTACCGTCACTGTAGGTGTCCATTAATGAAGTCTAATGCCCATATGCTTGTTCCAGAACTGGTAATGTTACTCCTATATCATAGTGAAGGGAATGAACCACCCCTATGTGATGCCATCGGTTACAGAGACACAATATTTCGAGAATTATGAACGTACTTCAGCGCCAGCATGGGTGACCTTTACAGTTTAGAATCGGCAATGATAAATTGGACTTATGTAACAACTTTGACTATTTATAGTTACGTAACACTGGTGATGATATCTAAGAGTAGACTAACACATTACAAACAACCAGCAGCATAACAACGACTGTCTCTCATAAACAGCCTCCAGAGGGCCACTAGCGTCCCTGGTGTGAAGGACAGAGGCAGACATTAAGCCACACACATATAAGGTGGTAGAAGCAGTTCCTGGGACGCGCGTCTGGTTGCCTTCGTCCATGCGGTGCACGATGCTTCTTGGTCATGATATTCAAAGGATCCCTAATGACCTGAACTAAACAAGTTGTTTAGGCTGGAATAACAAACACGATTCAAGCAAAGAAGGAAGATTATTAGCAGTAAGGAAAATGGAAGATCGATATGGAGATAAGAAAATGCATTTTTATCTCCATTGGCAAGAGGTGCATGTGACACTGGATATGTTTACGGCTCAAACACACTCATACATCAATATTTCTGAGGACTATCTCGAGCTAGGGATGCCTCTGTCACTCATTATGTCATATATGAATAAAATCCCTAGTGAGTTTCATGAATTGAAGTTATACAATATGAAGACGGAAGACACGTGATGATGCACGATGCTGTGAAGATTACCGAAGCTAAGAGTCCAGCAGGCTCCTCTCTGTTGGCCGGCCCTCAAGACAGCCACATTCATGTCACACTTTTACTCAGCCTCTGTACCGCCGAGGTCGCAACTCTCTTGAGTAGACACAAATATACCCCAAGTCTTTCTTTTTTCTTTAAAAACGAAAAGTGAATACTACACCCAGTGACAAGCGATTAATGATTCAGGTCTTAAGACATGTGACAGTTACTCAAGAGAATTTTTCTGTAAGAATTTGGACATGTAGAGAATTTGATAACGGGATAAGTGTACATAAAACAGCAATGCATGGAAAGAATTGAAGGGTTTATAGAGCATAAATTTTATATGCAAGAAAAAATAGAACTCCGCGTACTAGATGAAGCGCATTAATGTCAAAATACCTAGGAAAAATCTTGATCAAGTGTGCAGGCTGATCTGGCAAGTTCCAGGACCCTCTGGTATGGCATTTCCTGATGGCACCCTAGGCATATAAGGAGAGCCTTGATCTTTTTTATGCAGCTCGCATTGCTAATCACGAGACAGGCCACTGACTGAAAGTACCTAAAGAATTATGGAGCAGACTACGTGCAAGTAAAAATGCATCAGTAATTGTTTTACAGAGAGGAGTAATACACGTTAAACTGCACTCAGAGCTGTGTAATACTGAAAGAGATGGACCCTGCAATGAGGGAGGCCTGGCACGAGCTACGCCGTCGCCCCACTCAGTACACTCACACATATTTACAGTATATACATACAAACAAACACACATACACACACACATGAAACGTACTAGAAACTTGTTATAGCATTGTCTTAAGTAGTTAAGGTTTATAGAATGTAAATATTCAGTGATGGAGTCACATCATGCACGGGTGTGGATCTCGTGTAGAATGGCAGGGTGTGCAGGGCTGTGCTTGAGTCAGGCATCACACGACACAGATGAAGTGAAAATTTTTTACCATTTACAACTTTCACTTCTCAGTCAATGATGATCGTATCGCAGAGCAACAATTTTCTTCACCGTTCCCTTTTCTCGACAGTGACTGCACATAAAGCTAAATAAACCATAAAGTTAATGCTGAAAATTATTTTCATTGTATTTTCACTGTTGACACAATCACATATTGCACTTAGATAAAAAAAATATATATTTAATACGAGGCGACGTCCCGTCTTCACGGAGACAATGCAGATGCAAGACGCTGAGGGAGGGCGGCAGTTTGCAGACGAGGGATATTTGAGTGTGCGCGAGGAGGAGGTGCAGCGAGGCACGTTACCTGGGCAAGTGTGTAGCCGCACTGCTGCCCCACCACCGCCTGCCCCGCCTCCTCCTGCCCTGCCCTCCACCAACACTACCTCCACCACCCCAGTGCTCGTTTCACTCCACGTCTCATGACCAGCACCACCCTGGGTATGGACGTTATACACGGAGAAAATTGTAAGTACATATACGTCAAGGGAACCCACACAGACCAAGAGTTAGGCTATTTACGTCTCTCGTGGTGACTTCTACAGTATCTTGCGGCAATAAAGTCACTCCATCTCCTCACATTAGCTAAAACGTACCTGGTACAATAAAATTCTACAGCAGGACTGTCATGACTTATTAGGGTGTATTAAAGAAATTTATTGAACAGCAACATTATATAATGAGATTTTCAGAAACAAATAAATCCATATTTTAATGTGACGTCGTGGTTTAGTTTGGACTTTATCCAAAGAGATGAAGGTTGCCACATCCTCTCTTTGATAACCACTTGAGCTTGCACTTCCCCTGTGTAAATGATGTAATGTTAAAGAAGATGTTTAATAACTTTATTGGTTATATAATTAATTCTGAAGAAGTTCGTGTATATTTGTTCTTTACATATAATATCCAGAAAACTTCCCGCGTAAATATCGATGAAGGCTACCACAGCACTGAAATAGGATCTCAACACTATCTGATACGCCCCTTACACACGAGTGTCTTATTGAGTATTCTCTCACATTTCCACAGCTGATTCATGATACAGTAACAGGTTGTACATAGTGGACGAAGCTCTGTCTCCTGATCTTTGAAAATGCTACATTGATACTGAAGATATGTGTAAGAATGTAGACTTTGAATTCCAATTGGATTATTTTTCTCTGTGAGTGATATTTTTACGCCTGACATGGTTGTGGAAGGCTATTGTATTGGTGACGGTGAGGAGGTGCAGTGGTGGCGGCACTTCCCTCTCCCGCCTCCCAAGCATTTCACTTATTCCAATGCATTCCACTAGTGACGTACCAAGGCTCACCAGTGGAGCTCAACACCTCCCTACACACACACATTTAGTCTCACCGGTCATTCTCAATTTATGTCCCACAACCTTATCAAGCGTGACTTTGAGTTTTGTTGGCGGTGGGCGTCGCCAACAGCATTATAAGATGGAACAAGGCAGTGGTGTGAAGCGTGGTGGCATCTGCTGCTGCGTGTGCCCGCCAGACCCTCACTACTCATTACCCCATTACCTGCACACTAAAACTTCATCCGCCAACCTGCGTTTTTCCCTCAAATTCTAAATATTTCTTCTTGCTAGTTAATATGTAAAACTTGCAGGATCTACTGTAAGATTAAATATAGAAACAATAGTTGCGATGAGTATTGCATTTCTTTGGATCTAAGAAAAATAACTTCCCGTCTTTGAGTAGCATTTAGATAAATCTGATTGGCTAGAAAGAATAAACGGAGCTACGCTATAGGCTGACTGGGGATGACGTCATGGTACAGGTGGTGACGAAGGGTAGCGGCGTCGGGATATGCTCGGTTCTACCACCAACTTCACCCCAAACTTACCATCTGGCGTATTCGACTACTTTTTCTTATTGATTTAATTTTGAAGTTAATTAGACGGTTATGCATAAATACTACAAAAGTAAAGCTATTTTACTTGTCAGATCTTTAAAACAAATTATATAGTACTTAATGAGGCATATAAATAAGTACATCCACGCGTCTCTTTCAATAATCGAATGAACCAAGTAGTAAGAGAGGAGTATAATGCTTTATACAGTATCTACTTCTTTGTCATGGCTTGAGACGCGAGCAGATCCCCCCTTCCCCATCCCTCGCTGCTGAGGAGTTTGCCAGCACGTAACACAAGTAACAGTACAGGTAGCCCCATATAGCAGGCGACTGTCAGTGTGTATGTACCACGTCAAGAACTAAACACTACGGAGGGACAAAAGTGGCGCCGTGTGATTCCTGAAGGCGACACACACTGACTCATCCGAGGAAAGCCTAAGACAGGTGAAGATAACGAGCACTGGGGGTGATCAGGATACAAAGAAAATATAATAAGGTGAGCGAAAAAAAAAAGTGATTAGACAGTATTGAAATTGTCACTGAATGATTCGATAATTACAGTATACCTTCTATGTACTAACGCATATCAATACGTACAACATCGACCATACATAATGGACAGGTTATCTGTATGTTCACAGGGGCGGATCTAGGACCTCACAGTGACCGACTTCTGGGCTGAAACTTTTGAGTGTATGGCAGGGGGGGTGGTGGGGTTAGTGGTCATTATTTCTAGTATCTTATCGTACTTTATTTCGTTTGTTACAAATACAGATTTCAATGTTAGTGTGTGATATAAAAAAATCATTAATTTTAATTGAAGAATGGATTGTCTCATTAAATGTAATAATTTTGTATCTATATAAATTTCTTTATTTATTTATATAATGCCTGTAGGAAAAGTAAAACACCCATAACTGCATCACACACTAATAATGTTGCTTATTATGAAGAAAACCCGGTTTAAAATATTTAAATTTTTTGCCCGTATGATAAGTGTTGCTTCTTATTGCCATTACTAATTAGTTACAAATATATTACGTTATTGATGTCAAAGTTAATTTAATTTATTAAATAATCATTTTCCCATACAGGAGAGTGAAAACATAACAATCACATACAAACATACTAACGCACTACTTCATGTTACTTTTACCAAAGAAATAAATGCATTTGCATACATTTACATTATTTCAGTTGATGGTTTGTTACAAACATATTAGGTTGAGAATATAAAGTCATGCATCACTATTTACATAAAACATATATATATATATGTATATATATATATATATATATATATATATATATATATATATATATATATATATATATATACAAAGAAGTATGTCTGTGTGTGTGTTTGTTTGTGTGTATGTGTCCACACGAGAATCTCGGAAACTACTTTACCGATCTGTAGTGATGATGGATGGTGTTATATGTAGTGATGATGATGGATGGTGTTATATGTAGTGATGATGATGGATGGTGTTATATGTAGTGATGATGGATGGTGTTATATGTAGTGATGATGGATGGTGTTATATGTAGTGATGATGGATGATGTTATATGTAGTGATGATGGGTGGTGTTATATGTAGTAATGATGGATGATGTTATATGTAGTGATGATGGGTGGTGTTATATGTAGTGATGATAGATGGTGTTATATGTAGTGATGATGGATGGGGTTATATGTAGTGATGATGGATGGTGTTATATGTAGTGATGATGGGTGGTGTTATATGTAGTGATGATGAATGGTGTTATATGTAGTGATGATGGATAGTGTAATATGTAGTGATGACGGATGATGTTATATGTAGTGATGATTAGACAATAAAATGATAACAGTTTAACGCTAAAAGAATATATATTGCTGTACCGTTGTAGTGAAAAACATGGTGGAACTTACATACACCGTTAATGAACTATTGGTGGAAGAAGAAGTTTTGGGGACTGAACAGTGAGACAATGTGGAGCCTCCAGGAGGGTGGCGTCCTACCGAGGCCTAGCGGATGACCTGCCCGGAGCGAACAGTGGACAGTCGGTCACAGGAAACAGATCAGGAAAGGGAATCCCGTCTTAATGCTAACAGAAAGCGAACAACGAACAGTCGGTCACAAGAAACAGATCAGGAAAGGGAATCCCGTCTTAATGCTAACAGAAAACAAACAGCAGAAAGGCGTTCTCTAGAAAATGATCAAGCGCATGAAATTCGTTTGAATGCTAATAGACAGAGAGCTGTGGGATCCGGTTTCTAAGAAAGAATACACAGTGGCATCCACTTGCAAGAGCACCATTTAACTATGCCAATGAGATAGAATATGAAAAGTATCCCCTGTTGTCATTGGCAACATGGATAAGAAATGTGAACACTGCAGTGCAAAGAAGTACAAAGGAGAATCTGCTGGACTGTGCTGCTCTCATGGGAAAGTACGACTGCCAAATTTGGAAAAATCACCACAACCATTGAAGACTCTCATGCTGGGAACACCACCAGAGTCAAAACACTTCTTGGAAAATATACTGAAGTACAATTCATGCTTCCAGATGACATCTTTTGGAGCTACCAGAGTAGTTCGTGAGCACGGATACAATCCAACATTCAAAGTCCAGGGTCAAGTCTATCACAAAGCAGGATCCCTCTTACCACTGGAAGATGAACAGGCAAAGTTCCTCCAAATCTACTTCATGGGAGATCATGAAAAGTAGGCTACTACCAGGTGTGGCAACATTCAAGGTGTCAGATATAACATTGTCCTATCTATCCAAGAAATGCTGCATGAGCGCAACACGTATGTACTGTACACTGTACAGTCATATAAAAATGCCCTGGAAAACATGCCTTCTGACGAGTACAAAGTCAGGATCAAAGCAGACACGACCCCTGAGGGAGAACATGAAAGAAGATTCAATGCTCCTGTAGTTGATGAATTAGCCATCCTGATTGTCGGTCAAGAGTTTGGGAAACGAGACATCATACTCAAAATGAGAAACGAGTCGCTCACAAGAAGAACATGATGCCACATGTACTGGAAGCTACAATACTGACATGAAAAGCCAAAGGAGAGGACGTTTTTATACCAAGGTTACCTCTCATCACCACTGACCTGCCATTTGAGTTCAAGCTACTTCAATTCCTGGTTAAAGTGAGCTTTGCCATGACCATCTACAAAAGCCAGGGACAGTCCCTAAAGATGGTTGGCCTAAACCTGGTGTTTCCTTGCTTCTCTCATGGACAGTTCTATGTTGGATGCTCCCGGGTGGGAACTGGCAAAAATCTGTACATACTTGCTGCTAATGGCAAAACCAAAAATGTGGTCTACCTTAATGCACTACAGTGAGACAATGTGGAGCCTCCCGGAAGGTGGCGTCCTACCGTGGCCTAGCGAAAAATCCGTACGGAGGGCGGCTATTCCGCTAGTTGTCTACTAAGTATGAAAAAGACTCATCACTATTTACATACAACATTGTCTACTCAGAATGAGAATAAAGACATCACCATTTATACGATTGCACACGATTGCCAGG